TAAGTACATCTTAAATCACTACTCCTGCAACCATTCCTTAAAATTATGACTGTAGATTGAAACTCTAAGTTAAAATTTACAAACAATAAAATCTAGCAACAGTCACATGCTCACGAAATATGAGTTTTAAACCAAGGTGTAGTGGTTTATATGATTTCATGAGGACAGCCTGGAAAGGCAGAGAAAAGTTTGATTTGCTAACTTAAGCAAGCAGTGCAGCAAAAACTGGGCAGCCTAATCACTGCCAAACTATAATTTATAGCCCAACTAGGTAAAATCCGAGTAAGGCAGCATTTCACTTAGGAATCAGCTGTACATTGATTAAATTGGTATTTAAGAGACCCCTCTTCTCTCAGTTACCCAGGACTGGGTGATGCCCCAGTTCTTCAGGCAGCACTTGTGCATTTGTTGTAGCTGAATATAAAGTGCAGCCATTCCTGTCTCTGATGCTGGAAGACCCTGAAAAAGAAGCCTACATTATTTTCAAACACTCATCAGCTAAAATTTATCCCCATCATCCTTCAGACTCTAGACATTTAAGGCTGATTCTGCACTCTAATTTTCCCGTTAATCAAGACAGTGTCAGATAATTTAAACCATGAACAATGTGAATGTTAAACAGTTTCTCCCTTCAGTATGTGTTTGCAATCTGTAACAGACGAGCTCGTTAGCATTTACTTAGAATGTTATGTAATGGCTGAGGTATTTGTAATAAAAACAGTCTATTTCTGTTAGCCTGTTCTTCATAGACATAAAAGCTGTCTTCATCTGATTTTTATTAGGACTTCATCTTCCTCTGTTCTTGATGCATTTTTTAAGACTCCTGTGCACTCCATTTTCATAGAGTATGATTTTCTCCCACCTCCTCACACGGATTTCAGCTTTAATTTTTACACTACTTTCACCCGGAAGCTTCTGCTGGCTTTCGTAAAACCCAAACGCAAGAAACAATGAGAGCGTGAAGCTGAGCAAAGGAAAAATTTCCTGCAGAAGATGAACTGGTTCTACCAGTACAACACCACCAGCAGTCCCGTCATTACAAGCCCAACATCCATCCTCAGCTAGTGGGATGGTGCTGCATTTTCATGTGGTGGTTTTTTGGTTTTTTTTTTTTTTTTCCCCCCCCAAACCCTCCACTACTGTAGGAGCCTCTGAAGACGTCAGCTGAAGGAAGAGAAGTGTTTTTCTTTCTGTCATATCCCCAGTCCACTACACGAGGGTTTACTCCTCTGCAAGAGCACACTGTGCAAGGCTTTAATTCTTCTGCAAGATTTTTATCTCCTCGTTTCATCCACACCACCCCTTATATGGTATTTAGTCTCTGCTTCCTACCCTCTCTCCACACTCACATCCCTGCTGTTCCCAAGCCTGGAAATCAGCCTGGAACAAAGGAATTGTGTTCCCAGTACTGCAGGACACCTGGCTGAATTCGACATCGTAGAACAGAATCCTTCCATTCTTTCTCTTAACTGGCACCCAGCATTCATTCACACAGCCCCAAACCCACACAGGAGCTCCCTCTGGAATTGCATCATCTCTCCCTTGCTCACTGGGGCCTGCTTCACCTTCCCTAGGAAAACAGGACCTATGGGAAGGTGCATCCCATAAATCTGTAGCATTGCACCAGGAGGCCAAGTCAAAACCGAAGACTGATGTAACTGCTCTGCCCAACAAAAAAACAGGGTTCTCATTATGGAAAGTCTAAATGAGAGCAAAGATATTATAAATTGCTACTAAACTGCCAAGACACAGAATATTTATATTACCGAGAGTCACAGAAGCAACTGTATACTGAGTTATACGTATTTCATGGGCTATTATCTACAAAAGCCAAGAACTCCATACCAGGAATCTATCCACACACCAAGGCAGAGTTTGAGGTGGCAGACAAGGGCCTTAATCCTGCTCTCCAAGCAGTGGCCTACGAGAGAACCAAGCTCTCACTCCAGTTTAAAGAGTGACCTCTCCAGCCCACATCACCAAACCACCTTTCCACTGAACATTCATCCAGTTCAAACAACTCCCCAAACTTTGAGATTCTTTATTCTCAAGGAAATGGTTGCAGAGCTGCACCAAAACACTACTAAATTAACGCAGAAGCAGAATTCTCTAGACTATAGAACTAAAAAAAACCAACTTGATAGCCACATACAGCTCCTGGCAGTCAGTATTTAAGGTCAATCCTTTTGTTTCTCATACATGGACAAATGAGATCATGTCCTGTTTCCTGCCCCTTCAAAAGCAGTTTCTTGTGTGAGCAGAGCTCTTTAAGATGAGACACCAAGTAGGCCAGGTGCCTCATTGCACAAGAAATAAAGCTATTAAAAATTTATTAAAAATTACAGTCCCGTTCCTACTGCGGGAAATATCGCTAATTTCCAGTAACATACCTATCTAACCCAAATATACAGGGCAACAAGGAGACCTTGAAGTCTTCCTTAAAGATACTGAGTCCAAGACGTTCCACCAAACAATACATTGACAGAACACCCACGTGAAACACAATTAAAAAAAAAAAAAGAAAAACCACGATGTTCCATTCAGTGCCCAGCACCATGCGCTCATACATGTCCCCTTCCCCGGGAAAAAGGCCCGAACTGGAAATTATCTGGGCCACTTTTAGCCTCAGTATTTTCAACGCCTCCATCCCTGGGTTATGCCCACTGCAGACCAACTGCCTGAATTTCAGCCGTGTCATCTCACCACGCTCTCCCCATCCTTTAAGCGCTATCCCTGAGAACACCCCTGGCTCTGACCACCCCCCTTACAAATCCTGGCCCCGGGAGCACAAACAATGCCTTCCCTCACTCAGCCCTGCACCAAACCACCCAAGAACCGCCTTTTACCGTAGGCCTAGAGTGAAAGAAGCGTGGATGCGGATTTCCGAGCTGGAAAACCGAGGCGCCCTGCCTCCAGCACCCCGCAAGGAAAGGCTGCTCTCCCCCGCGCGTTTCTGCGGGAAGAATCCCGGCCACGAACTGAACGCAAATGCACGCAGGGCTCGGCGCGTTCGTCCACGAATCTCCAGAGGACAGAGAAAGGGAAGGAGAGAAGGAAAAGGGAAGAGCGGAAAGGGGAGACCAAGCGGGGATAAGGAAAGGGGGAAAGCGGGGGGTAATAAAGAAGGCGGGAGAAGGAAGCAGCACCCCCGCACGAGCGGTCCCAGCACAGCCGCCCCTCCCGCCGGCCCCGGGCGCGGCCCGGGCTGTGCCCGGCGGGGCGCGGCCGGCCCCGGGCGCCAATGCGGGGTGGCCCGGCGAAGCCCTGGCCCAGCTGCCCCTTCCCGCTCCGCCCGGCGGCGGTGCCGGCCCGGGGCGCCCCTCACCCGCCGGCCGCGGGCCCGCTCGGGCGGAAGCCGCCCCCGCCCGGGGCCATGCGGCGCAGGCCGCCCGCCCGCTCCTGCCGACTCCGTGCCGCGACGCGGGCCCGCGCTCCGCCGCGGTGAAGCGGAGGACCCCCCACCCCCGCTTACCGGGCGCGCAGGGCGGCGCTCGGCTGCCCGCGGGTCCCGGTGCCGGCGGGGCCGCTGCTTCTCCCGGCGCCGCCGACTCGGCCGCTTGCACACAGGGGCCAAGATGGCGGGCGGCCAAGCCGGGCGCCAACGACGTCTGACGTCACCGCGCACAGCGCGCGCCACCGGCCCCGCCCCCGCGCCGCCGGTCACGTGAGCGCGCTGTGCCGCAGTCGCGCGGGCTCCCGGGGATGGGTGCGCCCCCTAGCGGCGCGGGGCGGAGGGCGGGGCCGCGCGGGGCCGGCCCCATCCCGGTTCTATTCCCGTTCTATCCCGAACCCATCCCGGTTCTATTCCCGTTCTATCCCTAACCCATCCCGGTTCTATTCCCGTTCTATCCCGAACCCATCCCGGTTCTATTCCCGTTCTATCCCGAACCCAGCCCGGTTCTATTCCCTTTCTATCCCGAACCCATCCCGGTTCTATTCCCGTTCTATCCCGGCCCCATCCCGCTTCTATTCCCGTTCTATCCCGAACCCATTCCGGCTCTATTCCCGATCCCACCCGGGCTCTATTCCCGTTCTATCCCGACCCCATCCCGGCTGTATTCCCGTTCTATTCCGGCCCCATCCCGGTTCTATTCTCGATCCCATCCCGGCTCTATTCCCGCTCTATCCCGACCCCATCCCGGTTCTATTCCCGTTCTATCCCGGCCCCATCCCGGGTCTATTCCCGATCCCATCCCGGCTCTATTCCCGGTCCCATCCCGGTTCTCTTCCCGTTCTATCCCGATCCCATCCCGGCTGTATTCCCGTTCTATCCCGGCCCCATCCCGGTTCTATTCCCGAACCCATCCCGGTTCTATTCCCATTCTATCCCGGCCCCATCCCGGCTGTATTCCCGTTCTATCCCGATCCCATCCCGGTTCTCTTCCCGTTCTATCCCGAACCCATCCCGGCTCTGTTCCGGTTTTATCCCAGCCCCACCCCGGCTCTATTCCCGTTCTATCCCGGCCCCATCCCGGCTCTATCCCAACCCCATCCCGGTTCTATTCCGGTTCTATCCCTGCCCCATCTCGGTTCCAATCCCGGTTCTGTTCCGGTTCCTATCCCGACCCCATCCCAGCCCCATTCTAGTTCCTATCCCAGGCCTATCCTGGCCTCATCCTGGTTTCTCATCCCAGCCCTACCCCAGTTCCTATCCCAGGCCTATCCTGGTTCCCATCCCAGTTCCCATCCTGCTTCCCATTCCGGTTTCCATTCCCATCCGGGCCCTATCCCAGTTCCCATCCCGGGAATTCAGGGTTCCCTATAATCCTAAGGTTGCTTGGGCAATGGCAGGGATGCTTGTTTGGTTGGATTTGTCTCTGTATGTGTAATTTATTATTATATATCAATATATTAGCATGTATAACATTTCTTACCTATCTTATTTGTTGATATTTCTATCTATATAATGTATAGATTGTATAGATACAAGGGCAAGACTCTCCACTCTGCTACAGGTCCACTTTATATAGCCTGATAATAAAACCATTAATAAAACCATCTGCAAAGACCAAATCTGTGAGGTTTATTTGTGGCTCCCTCTTTCACATCCCAAAAGTTACCAGACACAGAAGCAGCTCTCGACAGCTCACGTTTCATGAAATCTCAAGGTGGTGTGGGTCTTGCCAAAACTTTTGGGAGCAGGGGGAGGAAGGCTGGCCTCATGCTTCACCAGTTCATCCCAGAATGGTTCAGAGTGAGCACTCCTGTCACATCAGCAGGGGCTGGGTGGACACCAGGCTGCCCCAGGCTGCTGCTGGTGCCAGCTCCAGCCCTCTGGCAGCACCTGGCACAGGTGGCACAGCTTTGCACCGTCCCCAGATCACCTGGCATTGCAGCTCTCCAGGTTTCTTCTACAGCTGGGGACCTGCCCAGGGGTATTTGGAGAAGAGAAAACCTGCAGTGAGAGCAGCTGGCAGAGCCAGGAGGCACATCCAGCACCAGCTGGAGGAGCTGTCGGAGCTGTCAGCCAGCACCCGCGTTCTCAAGGGCTTCAGTGTGCGCTGCCACTGGCTCAGGATGGCAGCTCTGGCCCCGCTCCAGCTGCCCCGTCCCACCAGCCTGTACTGGTAGGGTGAGCAGGGCCCAAAAAAGATGGCCAGGGCCAGCTGGGGGTCAGTCAGGAGCAGCCTCATCACGCTGGGCTTGACGCCGGCACACGCGGCGATTTTGTCCACGTAGCTGATAAAACTCATCTTCAGGTTCTCCCTCTCAGATGGATTCCTTCGAGGGGACAGAAGAAACAAAAGTCAGATGGCATCATCCTATCTCAGTGCCCAGCTCCACGGAAAGCAAAAGCCTCAGGCTCAGACATCAGCTGAGCCCCAGTCTCTCTCTTAGCCCCAAATTAAGCCAAAGGCACTGAAAGAGCCCTGGTGGGGTTGGTCCCAGCAGTTCCCAGGGCAGGGGATAAGCAGAAGCTTGTTTTGTCTCTGCAGCATAGCTGTGGCTTCAAAATCAGCTCTAACTTAGCAGTACCATCACTGTAATGCCACAAGTAGCCCTGCTGTGTCCTTCCCTGAGCTTCAGGGGTGTGGATTTGGCTGATTTTGAGAAGCAGAGATGGGGACTTTCAGAGATAAGAATGCCAAAGGGACAGGGAAAATCTGGGAAATGCAGAACGCTTCCCATGCTGGGAGGGATGCCCAGGAATTTTTCTGCTTGAAACCTCATCTCCTTCACAGGAGGGAGGATGTGCTGATGAGCTTCAGGAAAATTTGAGACAGCCTCAAGTTTGTTTCTCTTGCACCTCAGGCGTCCATATTTCTGTGTAACAGCGTCGTGGTGGCTCCTGGTCATAATCCCTGTGGCTCTGTTTTGTCCCAGCCTTTCCCCAGTGTCCCATGAGCCAACCCAACCCGGCCTGAACCCTGAGGTCCCCTCCTTGCCCCATCATCATCCATCCCACATCCTTGTGGACACACAACCTCCTGTAAAATCCCAGTGCCAACGAGGCTGGCTGTTAGCTCCCACACACAGAGCTCACTTTGACCTGCCAAAAGGGGACAGAAAAAGGGACACCGGGTTCTGGACGGAACCCAGCAGTCCCCACTGCCTGGATTTGGGAGGGAGAAGCCACGAGATGGCACCGTTAGTCTGGAGGAAACCAAACCTCCATCCTGACATGCTGGGAGGCTTGGAGGCCTGGCAGGGAAAAGGCAGAAAGGGAAGGAGCAAAGGAGATGGGAAGAGAAGGAAGGGGAGCTGCAAGCCCTGGTCTTGTCATCAACTGCTCCAGAGAAGCTCACAGTGTCTTGTTCCATAAAGGAGACCATTTTCCCAGCTCACTGTGGGTGGTGGGGTAATAAATGCAGAGTTGGGTGTCCTAAGCAGGTCCCTCTCATGTCTGCCATCCTTCCCTGAGCTTATCCTGGCACACAGCACCCATCTCACCCCAGTGCAGGTGCATCACACACCTTTTCACTGGTGGCTTGCTCTTCAGAACCTCAGCCATCATCCTGCTGGGGGGAGGCAGCTTGTTCCAGCCTGAGAACAGAGAAACCAGCCAGCTCCAGAGGCTGAACATTTCCACCTTTAGAGGAAATGTTCATCCCCTTCCCAAGGTCCCAGCACCTTTCCCAGGCAGCAGGGATACAGGGATGCAGCTGGTGTGCAGAGCTACCCATGGCTAGCACGGAGCTGAAACATGCCCTAAGCTCTGTGGGCAGCAGCTCAGGCTGCCCCAAACCTCCCACCCAGAAGATCTGGATGTGTTTTAAAAAAACCAAGATGTGGCACCCAATGCCACGGTCTAGTTGAGGTGTTAGGGGATGGGTTGGACACGATGATCTTGAAGGTCTCTTCCAACCTAGTCATTCTGTGAATTCTGTGAATTCTGTGAATTCTGTGAATTCTGTGAATCTCCCCCATCTCCTACCTGCAAAGACCCCTGTGACCCAGCGAGCCTGCATTTCTGACCCCACCATGATGGAGCCTGTCAGCTGGATCAGGCCAATGATGGCCAGCGTGGGCTTCTCCAGCTGGGGAGGGAAGATGCATTTGTAGAGGGAACGGTTGTTGTGGATGGTGCTGCTGACAGACTCCTCGAGGAAGGGGAATGAAAAGTTGTAGCCCGTGGCAAAGAGCACCACGTCGATGTTTTCCTCGGTTGTCCCATCTTCAAAAACAGCAGAGTTTTCAGTGAATTCCTTCACGTTTGGCTTCAGCACCACAGTCCCAGAGAGGAGGCAGAATGGCAGCTCTTCATTGATAATCATCTTAAATTTGGAGCTTGCAGTGGGGAAAAGAGGGCAGCAGTGTTAGCATCTGGGAGGGATCTAAAATGACTTTTTTTTAAATGGTCAGAATTCCCCTTCGATGATTTGCTATTCCACAAATATCCCCCAAAAGTGAAAATTAAGCATTTCATATCATAAAGACCCCCTGACCACCCAACGAAGCAATCAGAAAAAACACCTTTTGCTGGAAGCCAAGCCATAGTTCGTGTGGTTGAACCACGAATTGAACTTCCGAAACCTGATCCTCCTGGCGAGGGCTGATGGCAGAAGCCACTCCAGGAGGTGATTGAAGCGGGTGGTGCTGACCATGTCGAGGGGGAAGCCCTGGTCTGACACCCGGCTGAGCACCCACGTGTTGCTCCTGGTGCTGAGGAACACCTGGGGAGGAAGGCAGGGCTCAGCCTCCTGCCCAGGCATCTTGTTGGCTTGGCCCTGAGTGGCAAATCCCATCTGCTGTACTCAACACAGGGTTAACCCAAGGCAAGGAGATGACATCCAGATGAACCAAGCAGCCTTGGTAAAGTGGTGGCTTTGCCTAAATTCCCACAGCTGCTCAGTTGCCTGTCCTCAGGTATAGTAGGACCCACGGCTGGTCTGTGGGCTAGAGAGGGTTAATGAATGAGGTTTGTTTTGAGAAGTATTCTCTGACCGAGGCTGTTGGCATGGAGACCGAGAAGACAAGAAGGAGAAAAGAAGATAATCAGAGAAGAAACTTTGCAGCTGGGGAAAATATTTTTAGAAAAGTCTTGGGAAAAACAGAGGTGGAGAATTTTCCACCAGTGATCGTTTATGTTGACTTTTTGTAGCCAATAAAGAAAGTGCAAACTGTAGAGAGGGTATAAAAGGCAGCATGCTGTTGGAATAAACAGGTATTAGCCTTCTGAAATGTAGCGTGCCTTTTCGTATGTCACACCTGCCTCTACAGTGACACCCAGGCAGCCCAAACTCTCCAGGAATTGCACAGCTTCTTCAATGAGAAGTGGAATTTATCGAGGAACCTGGGGGTGAAGCTCCCTGTGCCACCCTGGGCTCTCACAGTCCGTGTTTGGGCCACCTTGGAGCTGTACCTTGGCAGCCACACGGCTCAGCTCCACGGAGAGGTCGCCGCCAGTGTTGCCGATGCCGACCACCAGGACCCGCTTTCCTCGGAAATCCTGCACGTCTCTGTACTCCCGGCTGTGCAGGCACTGCCCTTTGAAGCGACTTTCAATGCCTAGGCAGAGAGCAGGGAGCATCTCCTACTGCCAGATGCATTTACCCAGCCCAGCCTCATGCCCAGATCCCCAACTCTCCTCCCTCCCACCTCCTCTTGCAGCTGAGAAGGTTCCCTGGACCTCCTCAGCTCAGCCTGGCTTTGCAAATCCTGATGGAAAAGCCTGCCTGCACCTTTACAAGGTGTCTTCCCCCATTTCCCCACCATTTCCATGGGGTGCTCCAGTGTGGGGGCTTCATGGCTATCAGCTCCCACACGCAGAGCTCACCTTGACCTGCCAAAAAATGACACAAACTGTCCCCCGCCCACACTGCCCAGCTCCACGGGGGGTTCTGGATGGAACCCAGCGGTTCCCACTGCCTGAATTTGGATTTACAGAGGAAAATACAACCAGGGGACCCATGGGTGCTGGGGGGAAACCCTGGGGGGGCAACCCCCCTGCTGGGACAGGGCTTACCTGGGAAAGAAGCCAATGGCAAGTAGGGCTCCTGGTAATGGCCAGTGCAAACCATGACAGCATCGAAGACGTGGGACTCACGGACACCACCAGCCTCGGTGACCACCTCCCACTGGCCTGAGGTGCTGAAATCCGGGCACCTTCTCACACTGAGAACTGTTGTCTTGCACAGAAGCCCAACAAAACAGCAGTCAGGGATCAGAGATGTGCCTGTGAAAGGCTGGGGCTGCCAGGATCAGGCTGGGTCCCTGGGGTGCTGCATGTCACGTCTGAAGCTGTTAAATCCCACCCTGCACCTTCCCCCTTGGTGATGGCACTGGGGGGCAAGCCCCTGTTGGAGCAGCCTTATTTAAAATGTGGGACTAAAGCTGCGTTCAGGACACAAGAGCAGGCTGGCTGGCACCCAGCCCGGTCCCTGGTCATGCATCTGCAGGTACCCATGGCTCTTGTCCCCGTGGGGTTTGGGGTCCCTGCTCACCTGGAAGCGCACGTGCCGCAGGAGGTCGAAGTGCCGGGCGTACATCCTGAAGTATTCCAGGACGAGGCCGTGGGGCAGGTAACTGGGGAAATCCTGGGGGAAGGGGAAGTCACTGAAGCAGGACATCTCCTTGGAGGTGTTGGTGATGACGGAGCGGTACACGCTGACCCTCCTGCTGTCTGTGGAGTCCTGTGTGAAGCCAATGGTGACGTTTCCACGTGTGCAGGGAAAGATTTCTCCCCATGAGGTACACCAGTATTTTCCTTCCTGTATTTTGGTACAAGGACTAGCACCGGGTGACAATCTCTGCTCCCTCCGTTTCCTTCTCCATCTTGGGGTCAGGAGGAGCCCCATGAATGGGATAGGGACAGTCCCTGAGGGTGTGGCCACCCTCTCCTCTTTGAGATCTTCCAAGGCAGGGGACAAACCAACCCAAGGCACTGACCGTGTAGCGCCAGATGCCGCCGATGTCCTCGCTGCTCTCGAAGCAGGTGGGCTCCAGCCCCTCCTCCAGGCAGCACTTGACAGAGACCAAGCCCCCAGCCCCAGCCCCGATCACGGCCACCCGCCGGACCATGCTGGCCTGCAGCAGGTGACACAGGCTGGTGGGAGAGCAGCTGGAAACACAAACACAGCCCAGGGATCAGCAGAAACGCCGGTGTTTTCTTGCCATCCCCAGCAAAACACCCCTGGTCTTCTCTGGCAGGTGTCCCCGAAGGAAAACTGTCCTGGAGAAAGCCATGGCCGGCTCCTGGTTCAAGTGCTGTGCACAGATCCTGCTCATTACCCTCCCTGCTGTGCTAAATCCACAATGAGGGTCCAGGAATCTCCCTCCTCCATTGGGGAGGAAAAAGGAGGCGCTTTTAAACCTCACTGTTCTGCTGCTTCCATTCATTCCCTTTTCCAGCCCAAACTAGGGAGTGCAAAGAAGTTGCAGCTATCTTCTTCTGCCTGTATAAAGTGATCCTCCTAAGACCTTTGTAAGAAAGAAACAACTCCAGCTAAGCTGGCTCGTTTTCACGCTTTCCTTTTTAATTTCCCATTAAAGAGCAATCTCTTGTAAACAAAAAAGGGTTTAAAAAAAAAAAAAAGGGGAAAAAAGCAAAGCAATGCCTGACTGAGCAGGAGCACAGCACACCCATTCAGAAGTTAGACAGCTCTGTGAAAGCACGGCTGGGATTACAGGATATACAAAAAGTAAGAAACCCAGGAAACGCTGGGTATAAATGGGAGGAACTCAAAGCTCGGGAGTGTAAACTGAGCTGCACCCAGCTTGACTGGGAAGCAAAGAAAACTAGGAAAAAATGAACCCACATGAACTTTGATTAAGAAATACTCCTACTGCAGAGTCTGCAGAAAGAGTAATTTATAACTTTTCCTATCAGTTTCATGTCAAAAAGTAAGTTAGCGTAAATAGAAACTGGAGGAAACTGAAGAAAGCCGGGGAAAAATGAGGGAGGTGCAAAAAAACCCCTTTGGCATCTACAAGCCTGGCCTGAGCCACTCCTTGATCTGCAGGAACAGGGCAGGACATGCCCACAGCCGCCTGCCTCGTTTCTGGAGCCTTCAGGAAAAGGCCGTGAAACTCAGGGAGCTCGACTCACCCCACTTTTACTGGTTTTACTCCAGAGGCTCCCTGCAACACCCCTCTCCCCCCACCAGCAGCAAGGCAAAGCCATCAGTGAATGCCAAACCCCTGGAGAGCTGTCTGCCCCCTCTCCAAGCCTGCCAAACCCATCCAGGAGGAGCGAGGAGCAAACCTTGCAGCTGTGCTGTGCCTTCACTGCTCAGCCCTCGGCAGAATCTCTGTGGTGGATTGGAAGGGAAGGCTGAAGTCCAGGCAGCTCTCCACAGCTCTCGCCCCACTGACCTTTACACCTGCATTTCCCCGCCCTTCTGGGCTTAAATGCACTGGAAGAAAGTTCCCAACCTCCCTGGGGCAGTGCCAAGGGAAAATGCAGAGATAATCCCAAAGGGAACGTGCTTGCATGGTGTAACTTGTCATTGCTCCAGCCCAGGCAGCAGCTTGGGCTTGTCCTGATCGATCCCCTTTTGTGGTGCCTGTGCTGGGCTCCAGCTCCCTTGGCATCCCCAGGAGATCAGGACATGCTCCCTTTGCCAGCAGACAGCGTGGATGTGGGACATGGAGCATTGTGCAGCCTCATTTTGGGGAGTCAGGGAAAGCCCTGAGAGCCCCAGCCTTGGAGCTGCCCACAGCATTTGGTGGCACAGCCCCAGCTCAGACACGGGCTCTCCCCCCCAGCTCTTCCCATGCACACAAGGACAGGACAGAGAGGCATCTGCAGCACACTCCCGCCACAGCCACCGAGATTTTATTCATCTACAGTCTCTCCACGCACAAAACAAAGCCTCAGGATTGTCCAGTGGTGGGGCATGCAGGGAAGCAAAGCCAGGAGTGCTCAGCCCCACAGGCTCACGTGTGACAAAGCACCACAAGCACTGCACTGCCAAGATGCACCAGTTCAGCCCCAACTGGGATTTTAGGGTCACAGTATTTAGGCTTGGAGAAAGGGACAGCCTGACCTGTGTGCACAGCTCAGATAATTCCTGGGTACTTTTGCTCCTGTGCCCATTTTCGCTGGTATTGTCCTCACTGCAGCCTGTCTTGTGTGATCCAGGCACAATTGTGGCACCAATCCCTGCTCTGCTCCTGGCAGCAGGCAGGGGAGCAGAGGGGCAACAGACACTTGGGCAAGGCTGCCACCCTTGGCTAATGAGGTCTGCAAAGCTGTGCTTGGGCTTGAGCTGGAGCAGAGGGAGGTTTATGCTGCAGGTTGCAGATTAAAGTTTGTTGCCATCTCACTGAAATCCTTTTCCCCAGTCCCGTGGCACACTGAGGAGCTCTCTGACCTGAGACAACATCTCTCAGGACAAAAGGAAAAAAAAGCAACCAAACAAACCCACTCTAAAAGCTATTTGAAACCAAAAATCACAGCAGCCAGGAGCAGAAGGAATCCCATCATAACCAGGAGGGAAGGGAAAGAGCTGGAGGAGCCAGCAGGGACTCGTGTTCTTGTGGGCTTTAAGACACGGTCCCACTGGGTGAGGATGGCCTGTCGTGCCCCCTCCCAGCGCCCAGGACCCCCCAGTCTGTACTGGTAGGGGGAGCAGGGGCCAAAGAAGATGGTGAGGGCCAGCTTGGGGTCTGTGCAGAGCAGCTCCAGCACGCTGGGCTTGGCACCAATGAGGGAGGCCAGCGTGTCCAGGTAGATCAACGACTCGGTTTTGAGGACTTCATCATAGGTCAGACCAAACCTGAGTGAATCAGAGGAGACAAAGAGGCAGGAGAAAGATCAGTATCAGCAGGGCTTAGAGGAGCTGAGGTCCTCTGCATCCTTGTTGTTATTGCACCTGGAATGCAACTGGGTTCTTTCTAGGAAAGGACTGGATGTACATGCATATCTGGACACAAATCCTGTCCAGGACACAGCACCTGCAAAGTGATGCTGGCTCATGTCAATCTTTCCACAAACTGCACTGTTCCCCCCTTCCTCTTGGTGAATCTTTGTTAACAGACTTTGGCAAACCAGTTTCGGGTCTTTAAAAAAAAAAAACCCAAACAAAAAAATCCCTCAAACCCAAATCTCTTTGCTTTTTGCAGAAAAGTCAAGTGCAGCATGAGAAAGGTGGCACTTTTTAGTACCCCTCACGTTAATTTGCACCAAATATTGCAAGAATACATGGTGACTTGGAGAACTGCTTCCAGTTCACCTTCTCGGCAGAATTCACAGCTTCATGTCCCACCTTCAGAGGTCTGAAAAAGCCCTTATCCATTTAGCCTTGTATTGTACAGCAGCTGTTCTGTGCAATTCTGTATTTCACTCTTCTATACCTTTTCTCCTGTAGCTATTTAAGTGAACCATGGATTTATACATCACCTGGTTCACTCACTCATTCATTCCCTAATCCTTTTTAGCCTTTTGCTGCCTGTGAACCACACACCAGTGTGCTCAGACACCTGCTCACAGTGAGTCAGGTCTCCATGCTGAGAGAGGAGACAATCTGTGTGTACACCTCCTTGGTTGTGGGTTGGTTTTTTCCCCCCAGCTGAATTACTTTGCATTTGTTACCATTAATTTCTCTGCCATTTTATCTCTCAGTCCCTGGGGATCCTGATGTTCTTCCCCAACTCCCAAGCAAGATGCAGCCTTGATACCCTGAATTAAATTCTTCCTGTCACCAACAGGCAAAATATCAGTGTTAAATCAAAGGTTAATGGCTCTTTGCAAGTGAGTAAAGGGGAAGCTGGATCTGGGAATCCTCTCCTCTCCTCTGCCATGTGTGCAGGGAACAGGCACAGAGTGAGAGCCCGTGTGTTGCTGCTCCAAAAACTCCAGGGATTTCTCAATCCACCAAAAAACCTTTGGGGCTCTGGGAATGACTTACCATTTGACTTGGTTTTTCTTGTTCTCATTTACTTCGTTCTCCATGACAGATTGGGAAGGCAAGTGACACAAGCCTGGAAGAGAGGGGAGAGCGTCCTTGGGGGGGAACTGTGAGCTCATTCAGTGATGCAAAATGTGGGAATCCCTTCCCTGGGAGGGCAGGAAAGTCTCATTGCTGGCAATTTATTCAGCAGTGGCAATCCTGCCAGAAACCAGCCCTCCAGTATTCCAAATTCACCCACACCTTTTCCTGCTCTTACAGATGTGTGCTGTCAGGGCACAGGCAGGTGATGTGGGGTCAGATGGGCTGTGCAAGCCCCAGAGAGGCTCATCCCAAAGAGAAACCCCAGAGCTTCTCATCTCTGTGGGGCACTCCTGACCCAGCCCTCCAAGAGGTTATTCTTACTATTTTTATTAAAAACCCCAAACAAAACACCAGTAAGTTTCTTTCCTCACTCCTGTTGCTGCAGCTTAGCTGAAGTGAAATAACTTGGGAAACCTGAGCCTTGAAAATGCTCCATTGTCCCCTCTGAACTTCTTAGCTCTGGGCTGTCCCTGGCTGGAGGGATAAAACGTGTCCAGCCTGAGCTGCATTTTGGGGCACAGGAGGGCTCACATTTGCTGCCCTACCTTTGAAGACACGGCTCACCCAGCGTGCCTGCATCTCTACCACGGGCATGACAGGTCCTAAGGGCTTAATCAGCCCCAGGACAGCCAGGGTGGGCTTCTGCAGGTGGGTTGGGAACACGTGCTTGTAGAGGGACGCGTGCTTGTTTTCCACCTTGATGATGGATTCTTCTAGGAAGGGGAAGGAGACGACGTAGCCCGTGCAGAAAACAACAATATCAACGGGCTCCTCCTCAGGGCAGTTGTGGAACAGCACTGAGTTGTCCTTGAACTCCTTCACGCCCGGCTTGATGGTGATCCTGCCTGTCAGGATGTAGCTCGGGAGGTCGTCGTTCACCAGGGCCTCGCGGACCAGGCAGCTGTGGAGAGCCAGGGGCTCTGAGAGTGGGACACCACCACCAAGCCTTGTCCCCTGCTCCTCCTCCTCCCCAGGCCCACCAGCTCACACCTCCCAGTGTCACTTCCTCTGAGCAAGCAGCCCTCCAAACAATGACACGTGTCACCAATGTCACCCTGTCCCACAGCGGGAGGGATTCACGGACATCACCTTATTCCCTTCTCTCCCTCACTCTTTAAACCATCTCTTTCCAGAACTGATCCATGCTTTAAGCCTTCTCCTCTTTACCTAGAGACCCTCACAAGGAAAAGTCCTCTGTGCCTTCCTGAGCTTTTCCAGCATGCCCAGTATGTCACCACTTCAGGGAGCTACAGCTTATTTTCTCCTTCCCATTGGAGATGGGGCACTGGATGATGCTGGTTGTTGAATATCCTGCTCTGCCCACACCACAAGCCCATCTGCATGGGATGGGAAGCACCAAGAAGTACCTGTTGTCCGGTTGAAGGCCATAGTTTGTGTGGTTGAACCTCTTGTTCACCTTGGAATTAGTCAAGCGCCACGAAAGGGCTCTGGGGAGGCTGTTTTTGATCAGGCTCTTGAGGCGAGTGATTGAAACCATATCCCAGGGGTAGCCACCCTCAAACACACGGCTGAGCAGCCAGGATCCTCGAGAGGTGCTAATGGTCACCTGGAAAAGAAGCATCAATGGTTCAGGCAACGAATTTGCTGCTTTTCCTTTCTAAAGAAACTCAGAGGGGCATGATGCAAAGAGCCGTGCACTGAAAAAGCAGCAACAGCATCTTCAAGACCTCCTGGCTGCTGGTGATGGAGGTGAAACAGGAGACAAGAAGAAAACCAGCTTGCTTTCAAGGTAGGTTTTTGACCAAAAATTCAGGTCACATTTTGACCTGAGAGTCACTGTCGCCAGTGTCCCTCTCCCCACGCCCCTGGGGTGGCAGGCTGGTGGCACCTTTGCAGCCACACGACTGGCCTCCACTGCGATGTCCACTCCTGAGTTGCCCATGCCCACCACGAGGACACGCTTGCCCTGGAACACGTCGGGATGTTTGTAGTGCCGGCTGTGGAAGTACTGCCCTCGGAACCTCTCGATGCCTCGGGGGGAAAAGAAACACAGCTTTGAGCATTTGTGCATTTTCTTGGGTGTAAAAAAAACAACCAATCTGGATGGCAAGAGCAAGGAAGTGCAATCTTTGGCCACCAAGGACTCGGGGAGGTCCAGCCCTCCATCCCATGCACACAGAATTGATGCTTCCCCCCCCAGAATGGGGTCTCAGAGACACAAGAAAGCATCGCTGCTCCTGCCAGCAGGTTTGGAGAGCAGAAGCAAGAAAATAAAGGGAGGATTTTCCCCAAATAACCCCTAAATCTTCTCTCCCCAGCCCCTGAACCACAGGCAGCCCCATACCATACCAGGGAAACAGTGCAGGGGGAGGGATGGCTCCGAGAAACTGCCACTGCAGACCATGACAGCATCAAAGACACCTGATGTCTGCTTGCCACCCGCCTCTGTCACCACATTCCACTGGCCCGTGGCGGCAAAGTCGGGGCGCTTACGGATGCTGACGACGGTGGTCTGGAACGTGGAAGTGAAGCAGAGTGACCAAAGGCACGCAGCAGGGGTGGGGAGCAGGGCGGAGCAGGGCAGGCAGCGCTCACTCACCCCAAGGCTGATGCGCTCCCGCAGGTTGAAGCGCTCGGCGTAGAGCCGCAGGTAGTCCAGGAGCAGGGCGTTGTGCAGGAACACCGGGAAGTGCTCGGGGAAGGGGAAGTCGGAGAAGGCAGACATCTCCTTGGAGGTGTTGCTGATGAGTGATGGGTAAAGGCTTGGCCGGCCGGCCTCGATGTGCTCCTGCCACGGCATCACATCAGCGCCCTGCAAACCCTCCCGCACCCACCGGAGCCCAGCCCAGGGCGCCCCTAACCCCGCAAAGCTGCAGCTGCCCGGGCCAGGAGCACAGACCCTGGGGGCTCACCGTGTAGCGCCAGAGCCCCCCGATGTCCTGGCTCTGCTCGAAGCACGTGGGCTCCAGCCCCTCGTCCAGGCAGCACTTGGTGGCTGCCAGCCCGCTGACCCCTGCTCCCACCACGGCCACTCTCATCTCTGTGCCCTCTGCCGGGATCCCAGGATGGCAGCGGGGTTTGACCTGGGAGAAACCCCACAGGTGATCATCAGGCTCCCAGCAGGCATGCCCTCCGTTGGGAATTTCTCTATGTGCCGCCCCCGAACCTCATTCCATTCACCAGCATTCTGGGCTCTTCATTTACAAGTTAGATGAAATGTCTTAAATGATAATTTTCTTCTTTTCCCCCTTTATTTTAAAAATCTCTCCACTTTTACAGTGTGCTGCCTGGGCTGCTCTCAAACCCCTGCAGCTGGCCTGGAAACCGACTTTGAAAGTATTTAGTTGAGCCACAGTTCACCGCCAGTTTTTATTTACAAGTTGGGTTTAAACTCTACTGCCTTATCAGACTCGCAAATATTTGTATTTTATCTTTGGTTATCTGCCCCTACCTCTCTCAGAAATTAAAAAAAAAAAAATTAAAAAATGCACTGGGACTATTCAGTTTCTGCTTCTCTGACAGGGTCCTGTCCCCTGTGCCCAGGGAAGATGATGCTGACTTTGACATGAGGCTGACAGAGGGGCTGCAGGTGTGGCACACCTTGGACTGAGGATGGTTTTGTGTCTCTTGCAGGGCTGAAAACAGCTCCACCCCAGGGCTTGAAAGGCGACAGTCCCTGGGTTGACATCCAACCCTACAAAACTCCCAGTGGGGATGATGGATCCCAATATTTGGTAGTGCCAGGACCATAAATAAAACAAGGGGTGATGGCCAGGCTCCGTGGCTTGGGCTGGACAATTCCAGAGCCAGGATCCCCACACGAGTGCCCTGGGGGTGCTGCTGCAATCTGTGGTTTAACCCCAGGGCTGGAGGGAGCACCCTGCTCCACCGAGCTGTTAATTCAGCGTGGCAGGATGTCACTGTGGGTGGTACCACTTCCTCTGGCCTGAGAAGTGCTTTCGGTTTCCACCAGACACAATTCACGGTGCACTCATCAGGAAAAAGAAACCAAAAAAAATATAATACAGTCTTCAGTAAAAAAAAATGGGGTTGGACGCAGTATTTTCTAAAACCCACCAAATCCTCCAGAACTATTTCAACTTTCAGCCATAAAACAACACCTAATGAATACTCCGCTTTCCCGGCTGGAATAAAACCTGGACTTCTTCCTTTGTAAATAAAGAAAGGACTAGCACCAGCTGCTCACCGTTAACTGTTTTGGGGAAGCTTTTGTTTTGTTTTGTTTTGTTTTTGCGTGGTGGGAAGTAACTTATAACACCAACACCTCCCAGCTACATTTATTATTTGACTCCCTACCTCCTTGCAGAGAGAAGTTACAAGTAACACCCAAGAAATATCAATTCTGCCACACTATCCCAAAACCCAGAAGTGCCCGGGTGTGGGGTAGGGAGGGAAGGAAAGGTTTTTCTGGGAATACTCACCTGCAGCCCCTCTCAGCCCCGGGTCACCTCTGCTCTGAGAAGGGATTGGCAAGGGAGGGCTCCTCTCGTTTCGGAGTTACTGGCGAGAGGTGGAGCTTGTCCAGAAAGGCAGTGGGACAAGAAAAAAGCTCTCCATTCCCCCAGCAGTTACACAACCGGCCGTGGGAGGAGCGGCTGGAGGCAGCTGGGCAAGCCCAGATGTTGATCCCTAAAAGGGGGCCAGGGAGCGGAGCGCTCCAGCTGTGCCATGCCTTCACTCGCCCCGTGGCTACTCGCCCAAAGAAGGGGTTTGTCAGGGCTTTGCAGCCAGGGTACCTTCGAGGAAAGAGGGCTGGGTTAGAGGGTTCACGGGGCGTGTGCTATCGGCAGCACCAGGAAAGAAACGCGGAGAAAAGACTCCACGAGCAGCAAGGTTTTAAAGTAGGTGTGTTTTGTTTATCCAGCTCTCTTTATATACACTGCAGCTCATCCATATTCAACAATTCAAATTCAACATTGCCTGTGCATATTCATAACCTGTCCCCGCCCGCTCTGGCTCCGTGCGTTAATCGGATTTTCGTGTTCTGAGCTTTCACACTGTCTCCTGGTGGTCCTGGATGAACTAAGCGGTCCCGATGTCCTCTGGATGAACCTGGTCCTTGCACAGCCTCTCTTGGTACCTGGCCATCCTCCAAGGCTTCTGGCCATAGTCCAAAACATAGATCCAGTTTTTACCATTTTTTCGAGCCCTAGTTCCTGCTTTTCAGTCTTAAACAATAGGCAAAATCCTGTTGTATAGCAAATTATTTGCTCTTAACACACTTGATTACAGAGCAAACTAGAGTCTGTTTAAGTTTAGTTATAAGGAAGCTGCCCATGACTGAGAGAACATGAAATGGTCCCAAAACCAGTGTGCCAAGGTCCCAGGTACAAAGAAGGGGGGATTGTTGGCTGAAACGGTGCAGGACAGTGTGATAAAGGGGGTTAGGAAGGTCTGATAGGAGCAGATAAAAAAAAAAGATTAACTGCCTGAAGTATCTCAGACAAGAAATTGGCTTTGTGGGCTGGAGAAACGCCAAGGGTCCAAGGAGCAGGAGTGAGGAACAGAGGTGAAAAGTTCAGTGTGAAGAAGAGGAGCTTACTTCATCTGGAGCCCCCCAGCCCATGAACACCAGAAGCCACTGAACAGAACCAAGAGGAGCCCAAGGTGGGGACTATGGAAATTATTTCCCAGAACTCATTGTAAACAAACCTGCCTTTTCAGGGAAAAGTTAGAAATACGTTTTGGCTGTGTTGCAATTATCTTAAATATATAACATTATTATGTTTAAAGGCAGGTATCTCCCAGGAGTAAATGATCATAGAAACAAAGGGGATAAGAGTGGCTTTGGATCGGGCTTTGCCCCCAGATATTCAATATATTTAGGGGTGACTAGCAGGAAAGTATGAAATCCCTGAAAATGAATCCAGCTGGGCATGGAAAATATAGAAGCCATGGAGAGACAGTTGATAGAGGACTTTAGGAAAAGCAGTGTTTAGAAAAAGACAAAGATATTTGTGCCATGGTGGTGACAGCAAAACTCACAGAGTGAGAGCAGGGGACACAGTCAAAGCTTTCAGCCCCATCAGGGCCTCACCCTGTCACTGATAAACACATTGCCAGGGCAAGGGCCCCAGATTTGATACCAGCTCTTTTAGCAGTTTGAATAACTAAAAAGTTCACAGAGGAGGAGATGAAAAACCCATCCAAGGTCTGCAGGACAGAGGGTGGTAAATAAAGTATCCAACAGAGATGCCTGCTCTGGCCCTGTATTTTGATTTGCAGAGGCTGAAGGGACATATTTACAAAAAAAAAAAATAAAAATTGGGCAGCAAGGCTTGCACACCTTTGACAGTGTTGGGATTTGCACAGGCTCTGTCTCCCAGTTCTCCCTCTCACTGGACCCTTCTCCAGGTGCTCCTGCAAAGATGCTCACCAGCACTCAGCAAAAAAGAGTCAGCAATCCACTGAGGCAAATATGATGTTCTTTACGTGCTTCTGCATTTTTGGAGTTCCTCAGCAGGCATTCAAGTGATTTGCACTTATGGCAGCATTCCAGGAGTGGAGGTAGTGCTTTTAGGAGGGCAGTTCAGGGAAGCTTTCTAAAAGAACAAGTTGTTTTTGGCAAAGATGAGCTGCTGGTACAGAGACGGGACCAGATGCCTTTGGTGCAGCCAGTGAGGCTGGCCCTGACTCTGGTGAGGAATCCAGAGGTGCAGAGTTAGATGCAGTGAGTGATACCATGTGAGTACAGGGTAGAAATACCTCCCAAGCCTCAGTAATCTGCCTTAGGGCTGTGGTGTTCCACAAATACCCCTGGCCAGGTGTGCAGAACAAAGTATTTAGAGGAGATGGAGCTGAGATAGCAATTCCTGTGATTTTGCACACACATGCCCAGGGCACTGAAAAGCCCTTGTCAGAAAACACAAACAAATTCTTGCTCCTTTCCCCACCTCTGCTGCTGGCATGGCAGCCCTGACACAGCTCAGGAAGAGCCAGGACCAGGGAATATCCAGTGGTGGCTGAGGATGAGACCCAGGAATGGGATATTCATGTGCCTGTCCCTTGTCCCCTAGAGAAGCAAAGCTCCCCAGCACTGTGGCACAAGCCTGGCCTCTGCAAGAGCCTTTGTAATCCTTAAAGCAGAAGTAAGGAGAAACTAAATACATCCATTTAGTCTGAATCAGATGGGAAACCCACCTTCTCTGAGAAACTCTGGCACCAGTTTTACAATTTCTGTTTAAAATAACGCTTTAGGCCAAGGAGGGGCAAATCAAACACAAACAATTGTCAGCACAGCCCACTCTGCTGTTTTCTAGGTTTGTGTCAGCAGCTTTTGGCATGTGCAGTGCTGAAGGGGGAAAAGGAAAACAAAAGTTTTTTTACAAGTCTTTGTAAAAAACTTTTTTGATGGGATGGGAGGTTTGGGCTTATCAGTGAATCATTTCATTTTCCCCTCTCCAGTGTTATCACTGCCTCCCCTCACTGTCCAGAGGCTTTAATTGATATAATTTAATTGATCCCAAAGGTGACTGCTGCCTCCCACTGCTTTCTGCAGAGCTGCAGGATAAGGCCATCCACAAAGGGATGCACAAGCAGCTGCTGGTGGAAAAAATGTATTTCCCCACCCATTTCTTGGAACCTGGATGTTGATCTTTCAAAAAAAAAAAAAAAAAAAGCTTTTCCTCCACCTCCAAGGCCAAAAGGCATTTTCCTGCTCCAAACCAAAGAAAACCCCTCCCCAAACAGGCTGTTTTCCTGTTTACTATTCCCAGCACAAATAATCTCAGTCACAAATACTGCCAGGACACTTCTGTTTCTGCTTAAACTGTGCTAGATATGTTCAATATCTTGAACTCTTCCCAAAATCTCTCAGAAGATGCCACTTTTAAGGAGATCCAAAGGATGTACTGGAGCAGACATGGGCTGTAGAGTGACTATGGGAGAAGGATTTACTTGTTAAGCAAGGAGGTCTCTGCATGGAGAGCAGAAATGTTTTTTTTACTCCAACGTTCTTGGCAAAACTTAGCCTGATTTAATAATTCACCATGTTTTCCAGGCATGTAACCTGTGGAATTTCTCAAGAGAAGGCTGCTGCTGTTGTTAAACCTGTTGTGTTAATAAATCCTGCAGTGCTGCAGCTTTTAACTTCTTGGGTTTGGAGTTTTTTAAAATGTACATTTTCCAGCTTCCCAGCCTCGATG